ATTTTTTTTTACTACTTTTTGGGTTACTTCCTGCATGTAGTGATGTTTGGTTGTATAAAGAACAAGTAACACATCTCCTTATAAATTCCTTGGCTTGTTGCCACATGATGGAAAGTCCTTTTTTGACATGATGCTGTTTTATGAAATTCTAAAGCCTCTAGCACATTTCCAATCAACAACTGATTTCTGCATTACCTTGTGCAAGAGGACCTTGCAGACCTGTATGGGATCAGATGTGTGGTATGTATAAAGGATAATACCTATTCCAGACTGTATCTTGTAAGTGAATAAATAATAAAGTCAATCCTGTATCAGTTGGTATAAATTCAGGAGTTTCAATACGCAAAACAATTCTTTTAGCATATTGTGACTCGGTAACTATGTTGAGAGGTTCTTTAAAATCACTTAGTACCATGAGAATAACACATAATTCTTACTTTTGGATAAAATCATAAGGGCTTTGATCTCCTTTACACAAATTTTCTCATTTCTAATTTCTCATTTATAACCTGCCTTTCATAATCTATTTGCATCAGTATAGAATGTAAGGGCTCTAGTTGTTAGTGTGTCCCATGCAATGTGAGGAAGGATCCAGCTAGCTCTCTTTGTAAGTTGAATTCTCTTGCTTTTGGGATGGTTGTTAATCTCTTCCAAAAAATTACTACAAGTTCTTTACCAGGGTTCACTTTCTTCTCATAATTTGTCAATTTCATCATTATTAAAAGTATAATAATTTCTGCTGGGTGTTTTCCTGCTAATTGATGAAGTCTCAATTTTCCTTTTATAATTAACTCAGAGACCTTTTTCACATAAGTTTTTAATTTGTTACTCTATTTATATACTAAAATGATCCATTCTAAGGTAATATCTTCCCTCTGCATTGAAATTCCTGTAGGGGAATGTTTGGAGGATAATATGACCAGAATGTAGTTAAGATCCCAATACACATGATCCACATGCGTCTGCTGAAATTTCTTTTCAGTCAAAGCCAATTCTTTCTCAACTTCAGATGTTAATTCCCTGGGACATTTAAATCATTGTCACCATCTAAGGTTTTGTTTAAATTAATCAGGTCATCAAGACCTAACCCAATAGTGTGCTGTATTTGGGAAATGTCTCCTAGGATTCTCTGGAAGTCATGGAGAGTCTGCAATCAGTTTCTTCTAATTTGCACCTTTTGGGGCCTAATTTTTTGTAAACCTGTTTTATAGCCTAAATAATTAATAAAATCTCCTCTTTGTATTTTTTTCAAGAGCAATTTGTAATCCCTAACAAAGCAAAATTTTCTTTACTTCTTTAAATATTCTTTCTAAAGTATCTACATTTGAATCAGATAGTAAAATATCATCCATGTAATGGTTAACTATAGATTCAGGAAATTGCTTATGTATTATTTCCAATGGCTGACTTCCAAAATACTGGCACAGGGTGGGGATATTTAACATTCCCTGTGGAAGAATCTTCCATTGATATCTCTTAGCAGGCTGAGAATTATTATAAATAGCACTGTGAAGGCAAATTTCTCTCTATCCTTGTCTTGTAAAGGTATAGTGAAGAAACAATCTTTTGAATCAATAACTGTAAAAGGACATTCTTTAGGTAACAGGGAAGACAAAGGAATTCCAGGCTGCAGAGTTCACTGGTTGAACAATCTTATTACAAGCTCTTAGATCTCTTACCATTCTCCATTTTTCAGATTTCTTTTTAACAAATGGAAGAGAAATCCAAGCGCTGGTTTATTTTTCAGTATGCTGAGCATCTAGTTGCTCCTGTACCAGCTGTTCTAAAGCCTACAGTTTCTGTATTGATAAAGGCCATTGCTTATCCCATACAGGTTCATCTGTCAACCATTTTAAGTGTAGGGCTGTTGGTGCCCTTGAAATATCATCAGTTGTTGTGCCCTGTTCTTGTACAACCTCAATGGTCGTTGACTGTTCTTTATAATATCTTGCAATATTTTCCCCAAAAACATACATTAATTTATGGTTTGTTTCTAAGATGAGAAATATTAATCTGAGTAGTCCATTGCTGTAACAAATTATATCTACACAAAGTCACTGCTCTGTTAACCATATATGGTTTTAATATTCCTCTCTGTCCTCTGACCCTAAACATTTTACCCATCTCGTGGTGTGCTTTATCTGAGATAAAGTTCCAATCTCTAAAACTGAACAGTTTGATCCTGAAGAGGTCAATTTGGATGCCAAGATTCTGATATTATTGTTACATCCACAGTTATGTCTACTAGAACTTCAATGACATCACTTACTTGTATTTTCAATTTTGGTCTTTGTTCATTTATAAAAGTTGCTTTATGGTTTCTCCTGACATCTTTTCTCTCTTCCATAGCTGTTCTACTACACAGAGCAGTATGGTTTCTTACAATAGGCATTAGGTTCTTTAATTGCTCTGGGAAGGAATTTCCACCGAACTAGATTTGGCTTTTAGGCCTGTAAGAGGCCCCCCATGGAGTTTCCTGACAGCAAAGGATTACCTTGAATATCCCTTCTTGACCTACATTCATTAGTCCAATGTCTGTCTTTGCCCCACTTTCTGCATAATCCAGAAGGAGGAATGGATTATGCTTAGAAAAAACATTATTTCTAGGAATGATCTGTTCACATCCCCTTTAAAGTGGCTTGTTTGTCACAATTAAAACACTTAACATTTTCATTTTTTTCTTTAAACCTTTGGAAATCACCTCTCCTATATAAGTATCATCATGGTCATGAGATTCCATACTGATTGTATCTTGAATCTATTCTTCCTAGGATGCTGACCTTGCCTTTAGTGGTCTAATTATCTTTTTGCATGAGCATTAGCATTTTCAAAAGCCAGAAATTCGATTATTATTTGTCCAGCTTCTGAAATTGGTATTATTCTATTAACTATAAATACACTTTTCTGCGTGTGCACTGACCTAATATGGCTTTCTTTATATATAAGAAAATTACTGAATTTTCTTATTGATGACTTTACATTTTATTTTGTACAATCATATATGAATAATTCTAAGTTGTTTTCCTTTAAAAAAAAATTGTACTTACTTCATTTCCTTACCTAGGGAAGGAAGGAAACATTCAGAAGAACAGAAATAAGGTCGCTGAAGGATGGAAAGGCCCAGACACCATACAGGAACTCTGTGGTAGGAAGACTAGACAGATGCCAGGCACCCCAACTTGAGCTGTCCTCGTTCTCTCTAGTGGAATACTGATAGGCCCTGGAATTCTACATATTACATCCTAGAGAAACTCACCTAACAGTGATTGGGTCATTTTATGTTCATACTGAGAGCTAGGCAGTTGTACTTTATTTATTTATTTTTTTTTTTTTTTTGTCACAGAGAAAAGACCCAACAACTTGACGTAAATTCACGGAGACATTGCAGGGCGTAGCGTCACATGCCTTTAGTCCTAGCACTCGGGAGGCAGAGACAGGCAGATTTCTGTGAGTTTGAAGCCAGCCTGGTCTACAGAGTTCCAGGACAGCCAGGGCTGCACAGAGAAACCCTGTCTCGAAATACCAAAAATATATAGTGGAGTAAGTCTTGTGTGTTCCACTACCTATCATTTTGGAGAAATTATCGTTAATTTAACATTTTTTGAGAATCTACGTAATTTTCACCATTAAAATTCAGGGCAAAAATGATTTAAAATCCCTCAGGACTGAGATTGTCCTGTATAATCCTGTGTAATTTAATTAAGTGGACTGTCTTTAAGTGTTTGGTTCATCAATCCCTTCCCAGTCTTAAAGAATGTTCCCTAAAAAAAACCTGTGTATTTGGTTTCCTCACTGAATTGCAGGCTTCTGAAGGTCAAGGCATTTTGGCCTTAGAAGTCTGTCTTTGAACCTTCTCAAGTCAAGCAATCAAGTATGCACTAAACTAAATATGCAACTCGTGCAAAAATGTGGCAAAAATTAGTCTCATGCTTAAACCGGCTGGTACCGCAGTAAATCTCCGTTCTCTAGTTAATGACGCTGACCTGTCTGGGGATAGAGGATTCGGGAGTCAAGCCCACAGGGACCACAGGGCAAGAACTCTCCCTGCCTGGCCTCGATCCCGCCACCCACTGCTCGCAGAGTCCCTGTGCATAGAAACCGGTGACCCCATTCAGCAATGGCTTCGGAGAGCTGCTGCTCCGCGCCGGCAGCCGCATTGTGACGCGCACGCGCAGCCGAGGCGGGGCGGGGGCTCGGGGCTGAGGCGGGGTCGAGTGCGCGGAGCAAGGGC